TTAAACAGTATCTTGCTTTGTCGCCCCAGGCTGAAGTGTAGTGGCACAATCTCAACTCAACCGCCTCTTCCTGGGCTCAGGCTGAAAAGGTTTTTATTTAAAATACTTATTAAAGTAAACAATAGAAAAATTAAATTTATTTTGATTTATTTAGGTTTTTGAGACAGGGTCTAACTCTGTCACCCAGGCTACAGTGCAATAGCACAGCCCCAGCTCACTGCAGCCTTGAACGCCCAGGCTCAAGCGATTCTCCCATCGCAGACTCCCAAGGAGCTGGGACTACATGTGCCAAGACCATGCCTGGTCAATTTTTTTTTGAGACAGAGTCTCGCTCTGTTGCCCACGCTGGAGTGAAGTGGCGCGATCTTGGCTGACTGCAACTTCCAGCTCCCAGGTTCAAGCAATTCTTGTGCCTCAGCCTCCTGAGTAGCTGGGATTACAGGTGTGCACCACAACACCTGGCTAATTTTTGAATTTTATTAGAAATGGGGTTTCACCTTGTTGGCCAGATTGGTCTTGAACTCCTGAGCTCAATTGATCTGCCCGCCTCGGCCTCCCAAAGTCCTGTGATTACAGCCCTGAGCCACCATGCCCGGCCCCCAGTTAATTTTTTAATTTTTTGTAGAGACAGGGTCTCACTATGTTACCCAGGCTGGTCTCAAACTCCTGGGTTCAGGCAGTCCTCCCACCTCAGCCTCCCAAATTGCTGGGATTACAGGGGTGAGTTATCACATTTGGCTATGAAAAATTACGTTGATTTAATATTAAAAAAAGGTATTTCAAAAAATTTTTTCCTTCTAAAATATTCAAAATGTCTATTAAAATTAAAAAGTACATTATTAGTGAATATTGACATTTACATTCTATAAGGCTGATATTTCAAATTTAGTTTCTGTGGGTATGGTTTTTGGTTTTTTAGATGGAGTTTCACTGTCACCCAGGCTGTAGTGGAGTGGCGTGATCTTGGCTCACTGTAACCTCTACCTCCCAGGTTCAAGTCTCCTGCCTCAGCCTCTGGAGTAGCTGGGATTATAGGCAGCTGCCACAGTGCCCCGCTAATTTTCAGTATTTTTAGTAGAGACGGGGTTTCGCTATATTGCCCAGGCTGGTCTTGAACTCCTAACCTCTAGTGATCCACCTGCCTCAGCCTCCCAGTGTGCTGGGATTATAGGCATGAGCCACTGCACCCGGCCTAAATTTAGTTTTTCATCATTAAATACTGGCCCTGCATGGTAGTTCACTCAACTGAGTTTGAGGCTGCAGTGAGCCATGATTGTGCCACTGTACTAATCCTGGGTGACAAGTGAGGTCCTGTCTTGAAAGAAAGAAAGACAGAGAGAAAAGGTAGGAAGGAAGGAAGGAAGGAAAAGAGGGAGGGAGAGAAGGGAGGCAAAGGAGAGAGGGAAGGGAGGGAAGGAAGGGAAGGAAGGAAGGACAGAGGAAGGAAGGAAGGAAGGTCAAATACTGGCTGGTCATGGTGGCTCACATGTTATAGCAAACTGCACAATGTTCCTCGGCAGCCACAGGCAGTTGTGTTGGATGCCACTCTAAGTCCCGAAAAACCAACAGAGCCATAAATCAGAACATGAAGAGGAGGAAGAAAATGGACCTTCAGCCCACTGGAAGATTAGAACCCATTATGTAAGAACCTACTGCCTTCCCAGTGTCCGAGAGGAAAGATTGCCAAGTTAAAGAATTCTGTTTTTCTCTGATCTAAATTGTTTTGACATCATTCCTATCCTTCCCACAATCCAAAGCAATGTCTATGTTCAACTTTGGCAGTGGCACAACCTACCAAGTGACCTGGTGTTTGTAGCCAGGTACCTCTGTTTTGAGGACATAGGACGAGATGTGGAGAAGCATTTACCTGAGGCCTGAATGGTGTAAGCTACAGAATGGGTGTGTTACAGGAACGAGGTCTACATCCAGATCCCAAGAGAGGGTACTTGGATCTCACGCAAGAAAGAATTCAGGGTGAGGCTGGGTTTGGTGGCTCATGCCTGCAACGCCAGCACTTTGGGAGGTCCAGGGGGGTGGATCACCTGAGGTCAGGAGTTCAAGACCAGCCTGGCCAACATGGAGAAACCTTGTCCCTACTAAAAATACATGACATTGTCATGGCATTTGTAAACTGTCATGCTGCAGGTGGGAGTGCAGTGGTGAGGATGACTGGAGGTCACTCTTGCACTATCTTGGTTTTGGTGGGTTTTATCTAGCTTCTTTACTGCAACTTGTTTTTTCTTTTTTTTTTTTGAGACAGAGTCTCGCTGTGGCATCGAGGCTGCAGTCCAGTAGCATGATCTCAGCTCACTGCAACCTCTGCCTCCTGGGTTCAAGTGATTCTCCTGCCTCAGCCTCCTGAGTAGCTAAAATTACAGGCACACACCACCATGCCTGGCTAATTTTTGTATTTTTAGGAGAGACGGGTTTTCACCATGTTGGCCAGGCTGGTCTTGAACTCCTGATCTCAACTGATCCGCCCACCTCAGCTTCCCAAAGTGCTGGGATTACAGGAGCAAGCCACTGTGCCTGGCCTGTTTTATTGGCAAGGTCTTTATGACTTGTATTTTGTGTCAAACTTCCATCTCATCCTGTGAATTAAAATGCCTAACTGTCTGGTCATACGGCCCAGGAGTTCTCAGCCTTATTTTACCCAGATCCTATTCAAGGTGGAATTGCTCTGGTTTAAATGCCTGACATTTCCCCACTCCCTTTTATAAGAGAACCCTTGGCCAGGCGCAGTGGCTCACGTCTGTAATCTCAGCACTTTGGGAGGCTGAGGTGGGTAGATCACCTGAGATCAGGAGTTCGAGACCAGCCTGGCCAACATTGTGAAAGCC